ATCATTTTTGGTGAATAGACATAACCCCGAAATCCTACGCATTTTCGAGAAAAAAATTCGAGTAGATACTGGAAATTTTTAGATGAAATTAAAATATTTAAAATCACACTACAAAAATTATATTTAGTTACAGGGGTAAATTACAACCATTTTTGGTCGTTAGGCATACCCTCGAAATCCTGCTTACATTCGAGAAAAAAAATTGAGAAAATGTGAAATTTTTTAGCGAAAAAAACAAAATTTCAAATCATTGTAAGATTCGTTATAATTTTCCATTTTAAACGTTCATTTCGAATCAAATGTGATTTTAAAACACTCGATTTGCTTGCGTCAAGATTGGACGATATAATCGTTTCTATACCATCTGCGCATGCGTTGTGCGCAGTAGCGGTTCAAAATTATTTGAAATCACACTAAAAAAATTATGTTCAGTTACAAGGGGCAATTACAATCATTTTTGGTGACTAGACATAACCCCGAAATCCTACGCATTTTCGAGAAAAAAATTCGAGTAGATACTGGAAATTTTTAGATGAAATTAAAATATTTAAAATCACACTACAAAAATTATATTTAGTTACAGGGGTCAATTATAACCATTTTTGGTCGTTAGACATACCCTCGAAATCCTGCTTACATTCGAGAAAAAAATTTGAGAAAATGTGAAATTTTTTAGCGAAAAAAACAAAATTTCAAATCATTGTAAGATTCGTTATAATTTTCCATTTTAAACGTTCATTTCGAATTAAATGTGATTTTAAAACACTCGGTTTGGTTGCGTCAAGATTGGACGATATAATCGTTTCTATACCATCTGCGCATGCGTTGTGCGCAGTAGCGGTTCAAAATTATTTGAAATCACACTAAAAAAATTATGTTCAGTTACAAGGGGCAATTACAATCATTTTTGGTGAATAGACATAACCCCGAAATCCTACGCATTTTCGAGAAAAAAATTCGAGTAGATACTGGAAATTTTTAGATGAAATTAAAATATTTAAAATCACACTACAAAAATTATATTTAGTTACAGGGGTAAATTACAACCATTTTTGGTCGTTAGGCATACCCTCGAAATCCTGCTTACATTCGAGAAAAAAAATTGAGAAAATGTGAAATTTTTTAGCGAAAAAAACAAAATTTCAAATCATTGTAAGATTCGTTATAATTTTCCATTTTAAACGTTCATTTCGAATCAAATGTGATTTTAAAACACTCGATTTGCTTGCGTCAAGATTGGACGATATAATCGTTTCTATACCATCTGCGCATGCGTTGTGCGCAGTAGCGGTTCAAAATTATTTGAAATCACACTAAAAAAATTATGTTCAGTTACAAGGGGCAATTACAATCATTTTTGGTGAATAGACATAACCCCGAAATCCTACGCATTTTCGAGAAAAAAATTCGAGTAGATACTGGAAATTTTTAGATGAAATTAAAATATTTAAAATCACACTACAAAAATTATATTTAGTTACAGGGGTCAATTATAACCATTTTTGGTCGTTAGACATACCCTCGAAATCCTGCTTACATTCGAGAAAAAAATTTGAGAAAATGTGAAATTTTTTAGCGAAAAAAACAAAATTTCAAATCATTGTAAAATTCGTTATAATTTTCCATTTTAAACGTTCATTTCGAATTAAATGTGATTTTAAAACACTCGATTTGCTTGCGTCAAGATTGGACGATATAATCGTTTCTATACCATCTGCGCATGCGTTGTGCGCAGTAGCGGTTCAAAATTATTTGAAATCACACTAAAAAAATTATGTTCAGTTACAAGGGGCAATTACAATCATTTTTGGTGAATAGACATAACCCCGAAATCCTACGCATTTTCGAGAAAAAAATTCGAGTAGATACTGGAAATTTTTAGATGAAATTAAAATATTTAAAATCACACTAAAAAAATTATATTTAGTTACAGGGGTCAATTACAACCATTTTTGGTCGTTAGACATACCCTCGAAATCCTGCTTACATTCGAGAAAAAAATTTGAGAAAATGTGAAATTTTTTAGCGAAAAAAACAAAATTTCAAATCATTGTAAGATTCGTAATAATTTTCCATTTTAAACGTTCATTTCGAATTAAATGTGATTTTAAAACACTTGGTTTACTTGTGTCAAGATCGTTTCTATACCATCTGCGCATGCGTTGTGCGCAGTAGCAGTTCGCCGCGTAGAATCGTTGTTAGGCTAGGTTTATGGCAGGGCAAATATCGTTCGACCGCGTGCAAGGTCAAAATTCTCACATCTGCTGGGCACACAGCCCTACCATAAACCTTCGAATTCGAACTCGAGAGAAAGTATTACCTGCAAAAACGGATACTTTCTCTAACGTCCTCCAGTGACGGTTGCACTCCTATAACACGGTTTCCCCCTCCACAGGCGTTGCACTAGGGGCTGATTGGAAGGGAGGATAAAGCATCTGAATTTTCCTTGATACATCGCGAATGAGAAAAAGGCAGATGTCACCGGAACGTAAGTGAAATCACACTTTGTACAACTCGTTTAATTCGTTACGATACTCTTTATTAATATCTTTTGGAATAAATAAATTATACCAAACGACTCTTAACCCTTTGCACTCCGAATTATATTTCAATTTTGTTACCAGCAGCACCCCAACGCTTTTAAGTGTTTTATTTGAAATTTATCTGTTTTATTTACACTGGTTGTTGCATTTTGTAATTTTCAAGATATCTCTCTGGTTTGGATTTGAAAAACTGTCGAATGGGACTCGACAAAGGAGTGCAAAGGGTTAAACCTCTTCACCCCCCCTCCCCTTCCGGACCATTAATTTATTCCGAATTCGCGACTGACAAAAGTAAATTGAAAAATTTCAATTAAAAATATGTTTCGATTGTTTTGTATCTTTGAAATTTTTTCCGATATACAGGGTGTCCCGTAAATAGTATAAGAACCGGAAATGGGGGGTAGCTGAGACGATTCTGAGCAACAATTTCCTTTGCAAAAATGTCGGATGGAGTTTTTGAATTATTAACGAAAAATGTATGTATAATGAGAGAAGAGTTCAGTGGAACGGATCAACCGAAAATAATTTTTCCAGAACAATTTGAAATTTTTTTCTTCCCCGTTGAAAAATTTCCACACCTTCTCGAATTTTTTTCTAGAAACTGGGTAGGAATTTAGGGGTGTGTGTATTCACCAAAAATGATTGTAATCGACCCCTGAAACTGGAAATAATTTTTTCAGAATGATTTGAAATTTTTTTTTTTCGTCGAATTTAGGCACCTAATTAGATTTTCGGTAAGGAATTTTTTTCTCGAAAATGCGTAGGATTTCGGGGGTATGTGTAATGATAAAAAATGATTGTAATTGACCCCTGTAACTAAATATAATTTTTTTTAAACAATTTGAAATTTTTTAATTTCGTCTAAAAATTTGTCCACTTATTGAATTTTTTTTCTGAAAACTGGATAGGATTTCGAGGGTATGTCTATTCACCAAAAATGATCGCAATAGACCCCCGCAATCGATAACAATTTTTTCAGAACTATTTGAAATTTTTTTATTCGCTGAAAAATTTAGGTACTTTTGTCAATTTTCCTTAGAAATTCGTTTTTGATTTTTAGTAATTTTGTTTGACGCTCTACAGAAAAGTTCTCTAATACTTTTTTGTAGGTATCCATAAGCTCTACTTCGGGGAAAAATTTCATTAAAATATATTCACTATTCTAGGAGTTATGGTCGTTTGAAAATTGGACCATTTTTACAGGGTTTTTCTCATTTTACGGTATCAAGGAACAACTTTTTCAATATTGTCAGAATTTCTACATATTCTCCACTAAAATACGCGTTGTTTGCACTTTGAAAAATTAAAATCCTGCAATCCGTTCGGTAGTTATGACAATTTAAAGATACGCATGAAATTTCAGGAAAGCCTCACATTAGATTTTACAGTAATGATTTTTTTTCTCGAAAGTGCGTAGGATTTCTGGGGTATGTGTAATGATAAAAAATGATTGCAATTGCCCCTTGTAACTGAATGTAATTTTTTTAGTGTGATTTTTAATATTTTAATTTCATCTAAAAAGTTTAGTATTTTCTCGAATTTTTTTCTCAAAAATGCGCAGGATTTCGGGGATATACATATTCACCAAAAATGATTACAATTGACCCCCACAACCGAAAATAATTTTTCTACAATGATTTGAAATTTTGTTTTTTTCGTTAAAAAATTTCACAACTTCTCAAATTTTTTTCTCGAAAGTAAGTAGGATTTCGAGGGTATGTCTATTCACCAAAAATGCTTGTAACTGACCCCTGTAACTGAATATAATTTTTTTAGTGTAATTTTAAATATTTCAATTTCATCTAAAAATTTCCAGTACCTACTCGAATTTTTTTCTCGAAAATGCGTAGGATTTCGGGGGTATGTCTAACGACCAAAAATGCTTGTAATTGCCCCTTGTAACTAAATATAATTTTTTTTGTGTGATTTTAAATAGTTTAATTTCATCTAAAAATTTCCAGTACCTACTCGAATTTTTTTCTCGAAAATGCGTAGGATTTCGGGGATATGTGTAATAATAAAAAATGATTGCAACTGACCTCGCTAACTAAAACTAATTTTTTCAGAATTATTTGAAATTTTTCCATTCCGACGATTAATTTGTCCAGATTCCTGAATTTTTTTCTCGAAAATGCGTAGGATTTCAGGTATATGTCTAATGACCAAAAATGCTTGTAATTGACCCCCGTAACTGAATATAATTTTTTCAGTGCGATTTTAAATATTTTAATTTCATCTAACACGAAGAATAAGACACCATCGCATACACAACGATATATTCGTCACTAAAAGGGTTAATAAATATCCCACATCGTTGTACAAAATATTCAAAGATAATATTTGAGCACTTACAAAGAAAAAATTTGGAATATTACCTGTTCGAAGAATATTTATGAAAGGGCCTCCGTGGAGAGTCGATACGGGCCTGAGCGAGGGCCCGTGGAAGGGGGCCCCGGGGCAAACAAGCAGCTGCAAGCGTCCGCAGGGGCAACAGCAACCGCGTGCTTAAATTAGTCCCGGCACAACTGTCGTTCGCGTAACATGTAAGGAGTTCGTTCGCGAGTCCTGCGCGCATCGAGTGAGAAATTCAGTAACAGAAACAAATATTCATCAATCGTTATTTCTTTTTCATCAAACGTGGTCAGAATAATTGTTAACGAAGCGTGAAAGCGAAAACCATGAAAACAGTCCACTTTTGAGGGAATCAATTGTATTAGTTTCGCGAGGACTCTATAATTATGCATCACAGTTGTTCAAGTTGAATCTTCAGTGTTAAAAAGAGAAGCTCGAATGGACTGCTGACGAACTAGGGGAAATCTGGCCCCCAAGCAATCGTATGAAGGTTCAGGGAGCAAGAAATAGCGGAAGAAGTGGAAGATGCTGATATTGAGGCTGATAGTGACGTTGACCGTCTGCTGGATGGCCGGGTGCGACTTGCTGGACCTCTACGTCCAGCACATGGACGAGACAATGAGGACCCTGGCCTACAGGAACAGGTATCACCCGAGGAACATCGCGTCCAAAGTGAAAAGAAGTTTACGTGAAGAGCCTGTGCTCAGAGTAGGCACGTTCAAGAAACAACGTTTGGACGTCGACGAGGACTGGTACGCGCAATGGAAGACCAAAAGGAGGATTCCTTACAAAGAAGACGGTCTCGACTACCCGAATTCTAGGGAGGAGAACCTCAACCCGAACCACTACGAGTTCCTGAAGAACGGAACTCGCGTTTCTAGCAAAGATCCCGAGGAAACGACGATGTCAATAACGAGGAGCAACGAGACTTTGGGCTCAAACTCAGACTCAGAGTTAGACTCAGGGTTAGACATGTTCGACATTGAGCTCTCTAGAGAAGAATCATCCAAATCCAACGATACTGTGTTAATAACTGATAGACAAAGTTTGGAAACTGTTCTAGAGTCTAGAAAGGAGCCCCAAGAGACGGAGGATCTCCAAAGTGACGTTGAAATTGAAGGAAATTCTCAGTTTGAGATGATTGGTGACCCCGACACAGTGCCCCCGAGCCTCCCAGACGATCCCATTTTGAAAAGGATCCCGAAAACGCGTGATCGCGTCCCGAAGAAGTATGTTCCCCCCATGGACAAGCTGGTGAAGCTGTTTCGAGGGTTTAAATACTTAGATTCTGATGAGATCGTGAACAACAGGCCCAAACGAAGCGTCGGGGAGCCAAAGTTCACCAGATACGAGATGCTCGACGACGATGGCGAGGTTATCCTTGAATGGGATCCCTCGGACGAGGAGATGGTCACGTTCAAAGTCACCGCGAAGACCTTGGGCTACGTCAGCATTGGCTTCAACGAGAAGAACCACATGAAGGGGGCTGATATCCTTCTCGCCTGGGTGGACGATCACACGCACACTGCCTATCTACTGGTGAGTCTTTTTCTTACGTTCGATCTTGATCTTCGTGATCGATGGGGACCTGGACGACGCAGGTATTTCGATCGGTGATCGATAGGCTCCGAGACAGAAAAAAAAAATAGATTGCGTCCTCTAATTCGGTCCGGTGATTTCCAATCCGTGACCACGCGAAAGATGAATGATTATTACGTATGGCAGACAACGAATTAGGTATATTTGAAGATATTTCAAAATTGAAAATATTTCTAGCATTTGCTTGAAATTCAAAGTAAAAGAAAATTTCTAATTAGGTATAATTTTGAGTTTAATAGCGAATGGTCAGATTGGGGGAGTCAGGTCACTGTTGACCCACGTTTACAGGTATCACCCCTGGGAAAAATTTTAATGGGAGATTCTAGAGGCCAAAATAAGACGAAAATCAAGAATACTAATTTGTTGATCAAGGCTTCGTTGCAAAGTTATTAACATTTAAAGTTCCGTCTGTACTGAATTTTTTTCTAAAAAAATGCGTAGGATTTCGGGGGTATGTGTATCCACCAAAAATTATTGTAATTGACCTCGGAACCTAAAAATAATTTTTTTAGAACGATTTGAAATTTTTTAATTTTCTCGACAAAGTCCACATTCTCGAATTTTTTTCTCGAAAATGCGTAGGATTTCGGGGTTATGTCTAATGACCAAAACTGATTGTAATTGACCCCCGCAGCCAAAAATAATTTTTCCAGAACCATTTGAAATTTTTTACTTTCGCCGAGAAAAGGCACTGTGGCGGCCAAGGCACCACATACGCCTTAGCCGTTCGAAGCCGCTACAATGTATGGTTGCACACGAGACGATGGTTGCACACGAGACGACCAGAGCCGCGTGAGCCGAAAAGCCGTTGTCGTCGTCTCTGACCGTCTTTTGTTTTTGAAGGCCTCTTGGTACGGTGGCGATGATCGTACCAGAGAGTCGAGCGTAACCCGCACCACGAGTCACGTCGTTGTACGACAGCAACAATAAAATTGTGCGGAACGGAACAGAGCGGAGTCATTATCTTCCCGATACCACATTGGTGACCCCGACGTGATCTCGCCGCGCAAGTAAAGTTTTTTTAAGAAAATTTGGACATTTTTCGTATACGGACAATATTAGTTAGGGTAGAGAAATAAGTGTATAGTGTTAAGGACATAAGAAAAGGACACGGTCTGACAAATAGTAAGCGCGGTGTGTGTGTGCGGTGAAACTATTTTTTTTTGTGACCAAGACTGGTAAAATGACTGACCCTAACGTTAACGCAGGGACATCCGCGGGTGTGCCGTTGGCAGTTGATCGCGTCGCTGTACGGATACCCGAGTTTTGTCCGGGAGACCCGGAGATGTGGTTTTCAATGGTAGAGAGAAGTTTTGAGGTATCCAATGTAACGTCGGAGACCACGAAATTCGGGTACATTCTCGGCGCGTTAAGTGCGCGACACGCCGCGGAAGTAAGAGACATTATCATGAATCCCCCGGCCGCGGATCCGTACACGACGCTAAAAAATGAGTTCATTCGCCGGCTTAGTGCGTCGCAGGAACAGAAAACGCGGCGGTTATTGGAACACGAGGAAATCGGGGACAGAAAACCGTCCCAATTTCTTCGTCACCTGCGCGGATTGGCCGGTACGGCTTTTTCGGACGGTGTATTGCGGACGCTTTGGATGGGCCGACTACCTGCTAATATGCAGGTGATTTTATCCACGCAGCGGGACACCCCGCTGGATAAGGTAGCAGAGTTGGCAGACGCTGTCGCGGATACGATGACACCGCGGGTACACGTCACGGAGGCCGCGACTACGGGCGTATCTGCATCCTGCCAAATACCCCCGCCGGGCCCGAGCATCGAGGCCATGTTAAACATTAAAATGTCGCAATTGGCTCTTTCCTTGAGGCAGGAAATTTCTGCCATCCGTGAATCCTTGGTGGACCAGGGGCAATCTTCCCGTCGCAGGTGGACCCACCGAAATCATCCAAACTCGCGCTACCGCAGACGATCTCTATCGCGATCGCGAGAGCGGCCCGCGGGAGGACAAATGGACCATCTAGGGAAATGCTGGTACCATTGGCGGTTCGGTCCGGCCGCGCAGAGGTGCGTTGCACCGTGCAATTGGAACGCCACGGATCAGGGAAACGACCTGGGGAGTCGTTGATGGCGGCCAGCGACACAAATCCAGCATCACGCCGCCTCTTCATCTTAGACAACAGCTCGAAGACGGAATTTTTAGTGGATACCGGGGCCGATTTGTGCGTTTTTCCGCGCCGCCTGCTAGGCGGATTGCGAGAAAGATCGGAGTACCAGCTGGCGGCGGCGAATGGGAGTGTAATTAACACCTACGGGACAGTGTCGTTAAACCTGCACCTCGGCCTACGACGGGATTTCGTGTGGCGATTCGTGGTTGCGGATGTTACAAAACCCATAATCGGGGTAGACTTTCTCGATCACTTCGATCTTATGGTGGACATCCGCAATCGTCGCCTCGTCGATCGGACCACGTCGTTAACGGTCCGCGGAACACGAGCCGAGGATGAAACGCCGTCGGTGAAGACAGTAGCAGGGACTACCGTTTACCACCAGCTCCTGATGCAGATGCCGGAACTTACACGGCCTAGCGGCACCCCGATGAGGACTACGCACCAAACGGTGCATTACATCGAGACAACCCCTGGACCACCCGTTTCCAGCAAGCCGCGGCGGCTTGCACCGGACCGGCTCAGGGCTGCCCAGAAGGAGTTCGACGCGATGGTGAAGATGGGCATCGCTTGTCCTTCGAAGAGCGCGTGGTCAGCACCCCTTCATATGGTTCCGAAGAAGGGCGAAGAAGCTTGGAGGCCTTGCGGTGACTATAGAGCGTTAAACGCACGGACAATTCCCGACCGATACCCCGTGCGTCACATTGAGGATTTTGCGCAACAACTGAGTGGCAAAAAGGTATTTTCCACAATAGATCTCGTCCGAGCTTATAATCAGATTCCGGTTGCGTCGGAAGACGTCGGAAAAACGGCCATTACAACGCCGTTCGGGCTTTTTGAATTCCCGTACATGTCGTTCGGGTTACGAAATGCCGCGCAAACATTTCAGCGCTTTATCGACGAAATTTTACGCGGTTTCGATTTTTGTTACGCGTATATAGACGACATTTTGGTCGCCTCAGAATCCCAAGCCGATCACCTGCGCCATTTAGAATTATTATTTAAACGATTAAAAGATTATGGCATTGTTGTTAATCCGAATAAATGCACGTTCGGACAGGAAGAAGTTAAATTTCTAGGCTATCGGGTAAATGAAAGCGGCACTCAACCTTTGCCCGGCAAGGTACAAGCCATAAAGTCATTTCCCCTTCCGAAAAACGCGAAGGATTTGAGGCAGTACTTGGGAATGCTTAATTTTTACCGCCGTTTTATCCCAGATGCCGCTCGCTTTCAAGCACCCTTGAACGACCTTCTAGCCGGCAATTTAAAGGGCAAGACCTCGATAGCCTGGACTTCGGAAGCGCGTCAGGCTTTTGAAAATACCAAAAATAGTTTAGCAAACGCAACCCTGCTTTCTCATCCTGCGGTCAACGCTCCATTGTCGGTTACCTGCGATGCTTCTGATTACACCGTAGGAGCTGTTTTACATCAGTGCGTCGGCAACGAACGACAACCATTAGCATTCTTTTCTAAGAAATTAGGATCTGCCGAAAAGAAGTATTCAGCTTACGACCGGGAACTACTTTCTATCTATTTAGCAATAAAACATTTCAAACATATGCTCGAAGGCAGACATTTCACGATTTTTACAGACCATAAACCCATAACTTTCGCTTTCAAACAGAAATTAGATAAATGCTCTCCTCGACAATTCCGATACCTAGATTACATTGCGCAATTCTCTACAGATATTCAACATATTTCCGGTAAAGACAACGTCGTTGCCGATGCACTGTCCAGAGTGGAAACGGTTAACCACTCGATTAATTTCGAAGAATTGGCAAAATCGCAAGCCCAGGATGAGGAGTTGCAGCGGTTGTTGAATAGCGAATCTAGCCTGCAATTACGCAAAGTCTCGTTGCCTGGCACGTCTTCCGAAATTTTTTGCGATATTTCGACTAAGAATGTAAGACCTTATGTCACCCCTCCTTTCCGACGTGCAGTTTTTAATATGTTACATGTATTATCACATCCAGGTATTAACGCGACGATCAAGCTCATAACGCAACGTTATGTTTGGCCGTCGATTAAAAGAGATGTTCGCACGTGGACACGTTGCTGTATACCGTGCCAAAGATCAAAAATTTCCCGTCATGTGACTGCACCATTGGCTACATTTGTTAAACCTTCTGCGCGATTCGAACACATTCATTTAGACATAGTAATTTTACCGGTGTCCGAAGGTTTCAGGTATTGTCTGACCTGTGTAGACAGATATACGCGGTGGCCGGAAGCCTTCCCCATGGTCGATCAGGAGGCCCAAACCGTAGCTCGAACCTTTTATGACGGTTGGGTAGCGCGGTTTGGTGCTCCCGTACGGATTACCACCGATCAGGGTAGGCAGTTCGAATCCAAATTATTTTTTGCGCTGAACAATTTAATTGGATCCACACGCCTTCGCACAACGGCGTATCACCCAGCGGCCAATGGGATGGTAGAGCGTTTTCACCGACAGCTCAAGTCGGCTATAAGGTGCCACGGATCCGACAGGTGGACAGAAATACTTCCGACGGTTCTACTCGGTATTCGTTCCGCCTGGAAAGAAGACCTCGGCGCTACCTCAGCGGAATTAGTTTATGGCGAGCCATTAAGATTACCGGGAGAGTTCTTGTCTTCGCATTCAGCGGAAGGCACAGAAAATGCTTCCGATTTTACTAATAGACTACGCAACCATTTTTCTAAATTGAGTCCCTCTAATGCATCACGCCATTCCGTTAATCGTACATTCGTTTTCAAAGATCTTAGCAGTTCAACACATGTTTTCATCCGAACAGATTCAGCCAAAACTATTTTACAACGCGCTTA